ATAGAACATGGGTCAAACAGAGAGGACCCAGGATATGGGATGATTACCAGGCAGCCTGTGTACAGAATGGCAAAAGATGAAGTGGGAGGCAGGTGGGTGCCAATACTATAGTACCACATCACAGGTGGCCAGCAGAGACCAGAGAAATTGAGACCTTTGGAGACATTTGATGGGGGTGTGACTGGACCAGGTCCGCATTTTGAAAAGACTACCCTGGTTGCACCTTCGGAGCCTGGGATCAAGGGACATACTTCCAGCCAGTCAAGGCAACTGGTAGTTCTAAAGTTAAACTCTGGATGGACTCAGGGTGGCATTTCTGGGATACCAACACAGGGAACAGAGGCCTGTAGAAGGAAGATTTCAGCATGGGCAACTTGTACGTCTGGCCTAACCATGTGTGGGCAAACAGCTTTATCATGCATTCCAGCTCCTTCTAGAGTATTTATGAAGTTTCAGAGAGAACAGTGTACCCTGGACTTGTCTGGGTACAGGGCAAGGAGGGATGAGATCTGCATTGGTTCTATGCCTAGGGAGAACCATCTCCCATCCTTGCCCAGAAGGTAACTCATCCCACCTCTCTTCTGTGGTCAAGGAAGTATCTTGACCACAGAGCTACCAAGCTCTCTGGACATAATGGGCTGGCTTTCTGCAGTGGTGAGTGGACACAGGGTGAAGCATCGCTATACCCACAGTTTTCATTCAGCCCTCCCCAGGCTCTAGGAGGGTGGCACCATTAGCATTCCCATTTTTTTCTTTTGGTTTTATGAGACAGGGTCTCACTCTATAGACCAGGCTGACCTGGATAGCACTCACAGTGTAGCTCAGGTTGGCCTCAAACTCATGGCAATCCTTCTGCCTCCCTATGAGTGCTGGGATGATAGGCATGAGCCACCATAACCATGTAGCATCCCTATTTTACAGACAAGAAAAGGGAAGCTCAGAGAGACCAGGGGGCGTATCCCAGTCACAAAGCTATGCCCTACTCAATCACAAAGCTATTTCCTATTCCCCAACATATCCTTACAAGACACCATCATTGATGTTTGTAGAGTTGGAATAGCAGTAGCTCATGCAAGATGAAGTTGAAAGGATGAACAGAGCTCCATGGGGTGGAGTTCTAGAGTTAAGGATAGGATGGGAAACCACAGAAGCAGGTAGAACAAAACCTGTAGCACATAGCTCCTTGGTCCTGGGGCAGAGAGGCCAAAATCTACAGATAGATCCTCATGGCCTCTACCCAAGAGCCAGGACAAATCTACATCAGAAGAGACATATCCCCCTCTCAGAACAACCTGGACTAGTCTTGGTGCTCTAGACGAAACGGAGCAGGTGCAGCCAGCTCTTGTCTTCCCAGACATGTAGGTGAAAACAAGATACCCTCTAGGCCCAGGGTCTGGGGTTTCCAAAGGTCTTTCATATTATTCTAAGCCACTGACAAGCCCTCATGAAAGAGGGTAAGGGGCAAATCACCTCAGCCTTAGCTTGCACCTGTGCTATGAGTGCCTCCCAGTGATCTTGAGGGGCAGTGACATTAGACCTTAGGTCTGATGACACCTGAGCTTGACTGCACAAGTCCCAGAGGATCAGCTCAGGGGGTCCCCATCCTATGACAAGACAAACACCCAGGGAATTTCACACCAGATTCAGATGGAACTAATTCCGTTTTCTTCCCTTATCACTTTGCACACATGAAATCTATTTTTAATTACCTTTCTATATATTCTAAAAAAAAAAAAAAAAATCCCACAGCTTGCTCCCACCCCCAAATTGTTCTTAGGGAAAGAAAGATTTATCTTGTAAGTTTCTTAAGAAAATCTATATGTGCTCAATGCATTTAAATAACACTCATTAAAGCAAACTGCGCGCGCAAGCCGGCTTCTCTAGTCACAGATGAGAGACAATCGCTTGACCTATTGCAAATCAAAAGGCATTTTGCACACCACCTTTATTTTTCAATTGGTTAAGTTTTAAATTAAAGTCCCAACGCCCTTTTTGGGAAGGCAGACTAATAGAGAACCACTGAAAATTTTGTTCAGTCGATTGGAAGATAATTACAAGAAACAAAATGTGAAATTTTAAATCAGGGCACTAATGAAGTCTAAAAATATCAGTGGCCCATCCCTCTGGCTGGCAAGACCTATTCTTCATGGAGGGGGATCTCTCTGCATAATTACTCAACCCCACGAGAGGCCAGGTTGTCACGTCAAACAATAGTAAGGCAAAAATCATAGGTCTGTAATGAGCTAGATTGCACAGTGTTCCACCGTGGATCTTATTATAATGTTGGGCAAGGTTTCAAACAGGGAACAGGAGAAGAGGAAAATTCTTTCTTTTTCTTTCTTTCCTTTTTTTTTTTAAGTGGAGTTCTGACTTGTGTTGATCCCATCATGTGGTGCCTCCTGTTCCTGCCTGGAGCCAGCTGTCTGTCATTTAAGAGTGTGAAATCAATTGGTTTTCAGAGATGTAAAATCCCTAGGGGCAAAATTAAAAGTGACCCAAATCCAAACCCACGTGGTCCTGTCAGGATTATAACTCTCCCATGGCAGGTTACAAAGATTTGGTTTCAGAATTTGGGTTTCTTATTTTTTTTTTTTTAAATGCAGTTGTTTGACATTAGATTTGACAGACAAATTATAGCTTCAGCAATAAAGGCTTTTAAGATTAGAAACGAAATGAAAATTTACTTAAAAAATAAAAAACCCACCCAGGCTTAAGCATTGAGTGTATGGACATGTACAATTCCTTGTCTTTCTTTCCTCACAAATATGAGGGAATCCGTCAGCGGATGAGGGCCATAAACAGAGACATGAATTAACTGCAACCTCTGGCTGGTCTGGTGGCCACCAATGGAAAGTGATGGACAGGTTGCCCATGGTCACTGGGCAGAGAGGGAGGACCTCAAAGGCTTTCCAGAAGATAGGGCTGTGGACATTTTCTGGGCTTTTCTTCCCAGCACTTACCCTGATAAAATCTACCCTGGGGCTTGTCTATCTTTTCTTCCTCCATCTATCAGGCTTGGAACCACAGAGGGCAAGCCAAAAACCTTTGGCCTGCCACCGTTGCCGCTGGAGCTGCTCTGCAATGATCCACTGACCCAGTGGGCCCAGCGGCCTGGCCTTACTGCCTGTGTTACCCCATCTCATGGGCTTGGGGTGAGGATGTTCAGAAAGGGCCTGCTTCTAGAAACATTTGATGAGGCAGATCTCAGCTCAGTATCCAGCTCCACATCAAGACTCCAGTGCCATCTGGATTGGTTCCTTTTAACACAGAACAGTTCCTTTTCCTAAATGCACATCTGGAACTTGGCAAGCCAGTAAGGCCTTTTGTCAGCTTTAGCAGGCTTCTCACTATGGGGACAGGGAAACTGGCCAGAGCTTTCGTATGGCTTTGGGCAGCTAGGACCCCACAGCCCGGTGTGGTGGCTCATAAAATGGGAGTGAGGTTTTCTTTCTTTCTTTCTTTCTTTCTTTCTTTCTTTCTTTCTTTCTTTCTTTCTTTCTTTCTTTCTTTCTTTCTTTCTTTCTTTCTTTC